CAGTGACACAAGATGACAGCAATAGTAGTTGTGGAATTGTGAAATATAATGTATTCACGATATTTTTTCTTTATTTTACTTAATCATTTAAAGTATTTTCAAATTCATGTTGCTGCTACTGTTACTTATGGACTAAGTTGATGGTGGGAAAAAGGGGTGAAGTGGGTGAGGACAATTTTACCCTTGTTTATGGAAAGAAAAAGGTATTTTTGTATTTAATTAACGGAAAAACTAACGGAATATGGACGGAAGGACGTCCAGCGCAAAGAAAGGTTGAAATGAGGGCAAAAATGCCAAAAAATGAAAGGTAGGGACGTTTTCCACAATAGACTTGAAAGGTAGGGACGTTTTGTGCCAATTACCCGAATGTTTAACGGAAAAACTGACGGAATATGGACGGAAGGACGTCCAGCGCAAAGAAAGGTTGAAATGAGGGCAAAAATGCCAAAAAATGAAAGGTAGGGACGTTTTCCACAATAGACTTGAAAGGTAGGGACGTTTTGTGCCAATTACCCATACTTGAAACTATCAGACACAAATTTTTACAATTCATTTGATAAAAGTTGATGAAATATATGGGGTTGAGAAGTTGTAGGACCCATAAAACGTGTGATTAAAATTGATTATTTACTTTGACTTAAATTATCAAACGGGAGTTCAATGTTAAAAATGTTGTACATTTTTTGTGTATAAATTGTATAATTCAACTTTATTTGGATAAATTGAAATTTGGAAACATCAAAATTACGATAAGATGTTTATATTTGATTGGAAAACAATCAATGAAACGACCAGATGGACGTCAAATCAGACTCTTCTTCTAGACGACGAGTAGTGCATAGTACTTGATATTGAACATGATTAGTCTTAATTCAATATATGTTGAAGTATTGTGTCAAACAATATGAATGGCAATGAATTCAATTAATGTCAAACATATTATGCTCATGTTTGGTTAAGTTAAAAAAAATTAATTAAAGTTAAACTCAAAATTGAATTTTAATCACACATTTTATATAAGGTCCACGTTTTTCGACAACAAATTACATCATTTTTTTATCAAAATTAAAATAAAAAAAAAATACATATATATCTATGCCAAATAGATATATACTAAAATAATATTCGTCGGATTTAAAGAGCCAATTTGAGGTCTAATCCACTAGATCCGGTAACATCGTCGTCTTTCTTAATAATCTCGTTTCTGTTATTACATGGAGACGGCAAAACGGAAGAAGGTCTTCTAAACTCAACCTCTGTTGTAAAATCTTCCCATTGAAATGCTGGTACCCAGGCGGCGACTGATTTCCTGTGGTGGTCGGAATCGGAATCGGACTTCCTCTTCCTCTTATTGTTCCCCTTCTCCGTTTGATCTTTCAATTGGTTCCTTACATCTTTGAAATTTCGGATCAATGCAAAGAATTCCTCCATCTTCTTCTCATCGTCTTCTTCATCTTCTCCGACATTTCTCTCTGCAGTGCGCTTCTCGTTTTCCATTTCCGTGTCAAAAAGAAGATAACATGCGTTTCTTAAGGTTGACGTCTAAATTTGTTCTGGTTTGGTGAATTTATAGGGTGATGGTCTGTGACTCTGGCGAAACTGGCCCCCCACAATGACTCGCAGAGTTTTTTTATTTTTAAACAGAATCACACGCGACGACTACGTCGGAGTACGTCATAACGCTGACGTAAAGTGTGTTCTATTCTTCTCGAATCTGATTACGTATGGCTAACTCTCACGTTTGATGTCAGCGAATAAACAATGACTTTAGAAGTCAATTATTTTTATTAATACAAAAAGGGTAATTGGCACAAAATGTCCCTATCTTTCAAGTGTATTGTGAAAAATATCTCTACCTTTCATTTTTTAGCACAAAACGTCCCTACCTTCTATTTTCTTGGCGCTGAACGTCCTTTTCATCAATTTTTGACGATTTTACCCTCCATTCAAATAAAACAAAAAGAAAAGAAAGGAAAAAAACAAAAAATTAGTTGCAACCGCATTCCCAAAATTTCTAAAAATTGCAAATGGTAACTTGATAATTACCATAATAAATAAATTGAAAAAAATTAAAAAAAATGGGTTGTCTTCTTCACCACACCCCATCCCACCATACAAAATCTCTCTGCACGGCAAATCCTCTAAATCCGAAAGGTTGCGATTCTTAAAACAGATCCATTTTTGTTACCTAATCGTCGACCTTTTGGGATCCATTAATCAAACCAATTCGAGTCTCATTGAGAAAGGCAGCTAAAACTATCTACTCTGGGCAGCTGATGTGCTTACATTCACCTCACAGCGAGACAATTATAAAATCATCAAACGAAAAACTAGATTCTGCCTGTAGTAACCAAACTTACACCGCTTTTTATAGTTTTTTTTTCACTTTTAGAGTTGATGTTATGCAATTCTACACTTCGTGCTTGTCATATTCGTCATCTACTCTCGACTCTGCAAATGCTGCCCTACATTCGCTATGAAATTGCTGCTAATAATCTGTTTTCCTGTTTCAGAATTAGCTACTTTGAAATTTTCAAAGTAGTGGAGCTAACTTGTGGTAAGCATCAAGAAGAATTGGTATCCTCACCGTCCCTTGAAGAAATCATACATTACGACTTGTGGGCGCGTGACTATGCCGCCAGTTTGCAGCCCTCGACCGGTTTAAGTCCTGCTCTTGTATGAGCTGCTATGCAGAGAGATTTTGTGGGGTGGGGTGGGGAAGACAACCCATTTTTTAAATTTTTTTCTTAATTCTTTGATTTTTTTTTTCAATTTATTTAATATGGTAATTATGAAGTTACCATTTGCAATTTTTAGAAAATTTGAGAATGTGGTTGCAATTAGTTTTTTGTTTTTTTCCTTTCTTTTCTTTTTGTTTTATTTGAATCGAGGGTAAAATCATAAAAAAATGATGAAAATGACGTTCAGCACCAAGAAAGTGGAAGGTAGGGACGTTTTGTGCCAAAAAATAAAAGGTAGGGATGCTTTCCACAATACACTTGAAAGGTAGAGACGTTTTGTGCCACTTACCATTTTTCCCTTATTTCAACCTTTCGTTGTGCTGAAAGTCCTTTTCACTGTTTTGGAACGTAAAATGATAATTATACCCTCTTATTTAAAACAAAAAAGGAAAAAGAAAAAAGAGAGAAATTCAGAACAAATTGCAACCCTACCCCTAAACTTTTAGAAAAGTGCAAATGAGTCCCCAATACTTAAAATATTGAAAATAAAAAAAAAAAAAAAAAAAACACTTTCTCTTCTCTTCCTCCCCCCTCCACTGCTACCTTGCAAGCCAAAAAATTTCGGCCAACCATCGTCCATACTATAGGATCTTCATACCACCAAAAAGCCCTCACTCCCCTCTACACATACCACCCAATGAGCTTCCATTAATTTCATTTTAATGGTACAAATTCTCCTTCGCCTAGGTTATGTTTTATTTCTTGATTTCTGAATGAATAACCATGTCCAGGCGACAATGGAGAAGACCCATATGCTCATTAGATGCGCAATGAAGTGTAGATACCTCATGTGGTGGTTCGTAATCATGGGTCCCACCACCGGCGTAAAAAAAATCGCCTGAAAGCTGCACAGCGACTGCGTTCAAAGCTCAGCCAACTGGATTTGACTGTGTGCATTAAAGGATGTTTGAGGACCATGGATAGGGACGTTTTAATGTGTAGAATTGATATGGAGGTTGTGTAGGGCATGGGTGTCGTAGGAAGTGAAGATTCCGGCCATTGTTTATTGCGTGAGTAACCTGTTTTGGCTTGAATTTCCAGGCAAATTGATTGGAGTTCTGGCCGGATCTTGGGTGAGTTGCGAAGAGGGAAGTCAGGGCTTTAAGGTGTTATGTTAGTTCAGCTAAAGTGGCGATTGTGCAAGACACGGGTGTCGCTGAAAGTGAAGATTTCGACCACTGTTTGTTGCATGGGTAACTTATTTTGGCTTAAATTTTCGGCCAAATTGATTGGAGTTATGGCCGGATCTTGGATGGGTTATGAAGAGGGAAGTGTGGGCTTTCAAGATGGTATGTTGGTCCCGTGCCCAAGGTGGTCGGAAGGTGCAGTTTTGGCGGTCCATAAGTGGTGGTTCTAAAATCTTAGCTGTGATGGATTGATGGAGTATTGGGAACTTATTTGCACTTTTTTAAAAGTTTAGGGGTAGGGTTGCAATTTGTTCTGAACTTTTCTCTCTCTCTCTCTTTTTTTTTTTTTTGGTTTTAAATAAGAGGGTATAATTGTTATTTTACGTTCCAAAATAGTGAAAAGGACCTTCAGCGCAACGAAAAGTTGAAATAAGGGTAAAAATGTCAAAAAAATGAAAGTTATGGACGTTTTCCACAATAAGCTTGAAAGGTGTAGACGTTTTGTGCCAATTATCCATACAAAAAATCATAAAGTCTTATTGTGGCCCTATTTAGTATCTATTTTTTTAAAAATACATTTTTATTTCTATTTTTTTAACCACATATTCTTTATTAAAATAATATTACACATAAATTAAAAATTTTTATTTATTTTTCAACCATACATTTTCCATCAATTTAGTATTCTAAAATGTATGTTTTATATAAAAATGGGGCTATTTTAAACATGCTATAATAATAGTGGAATTTAGTCCCTATTTGGCCCCCATTAAAACACGTTATTTGTCAAATTTTCAAACAATGCGGGGCCCAATTGTCATACAATTTAGATTTTGTACATACTTGTCATAGGAGGCCACATTAACGTGGTAGCGCAAAGTTACGATCCTGCCCTCCCAATCACTCCCTTACTCCTGACAAAGGAGGGTGTTTTCGTCATTTGGGCCAACATTCCATTTTGAAAAAGGGCCCCCTGCAAAATGTTCAGTAATGTCACAGCTGTGGAACCCACTTGAGGGGAAAAAAAAATTAATCTACTTGTACCAAATGTCTTACCTAATTTTTGATCGAATTGACAAGTAGTGCCCCTATCGGATGGGCACCTGTCTACTCAAATAAGGGCACGACACTTGGCAATTCGATCATCCATTTGGTAAATGAAGAATTAATCTATTTGTACCAAATGTCTTACCTAATTTTTGATCGAATTGACAAGTGGCGCCTCCTATTGGATGGGCACCTGTCTACTCCAATAAGGGCACGACACTTGGCAATTCGATCATCCATTTGGTAAATGATTTGATACATATATCATCTTCCAAAAAAGAATGAGGTTGAAAATTGGCAAAAATTGTAATGTAATGCGTATTAATGGGGGCCAAACAAACACTTAGAATTTAGGGTATGTTTAATTACATTTATTTTTCGCGAAAAATATTAGTTTTTCACCCAAATTCCTACTTTGAAGTGTTTTATTACTATTTTTTCATTGAAAATATTTTTCAACTTTTAAAAATATGTTTAATTTTCCTTATTTTTAAGGAAAATATTTTCTTTTGGGGGAGTAGGTTTTTCTTTTCCTCGAAATAAGAATAATATTTTCTTTTTTAAGTAATATTTTTCATTCTAAACAAACTCACTCCTAATTAGTTAATTGATTGATTCAAATTTGAGTCCGTATTTAGGTGGATTAAAATCATATTTTTAATAGATTTTGATAAAAGTTGATGAGATATGTAATTTTGGAAAATTGTAGATTTCATAAAATATGTGATTAATCGTTGATTTTAACTTAATTTCCACCCAATACGTACTGAGTTACTTAATTCGATTTTAAACTTTTAATAGGTAGATTATTGTAAAATTATGGATGATGTTATGACGTATTATATTTTTAATCAAATTTGACATTTGATATATGTTTCCGATAAAAATTGTTTGCTGATTGAAGACTATTAGATGGAAACTGGAAATAGATTGATTGGAACCCACCGAAAATCCTTGTATATATGCCAGCTGCTAATGATAAAAACTGTGCTTAGTGCTCACCGAGCAAAGCTCATGTTTGGTTTAAATAAAAATTCAATTTTTAGTAGATTTTGACAAAGTGATGAAATGTGAGTTTGAAAAATTGTCATTTCATAAAAATATGTGACTAAAATTAACGGTTAATTTTTAACTTAAATTTTAATCAATTTTTTAGTTGAAGCAAACAAGAGCAAAGAGATAATGAGCAATCGACCAAGCAAAATAACGTACAAACATCTAAATGTTTATATATGCTCAATTAGGGATAGCAAAAAGGTTGAGTAGCTCGTCGGCTCGGCTCGTCAAAACTCGACCCGTGGACGGCCAAAACGGGCCCGAGCCAAGCTGGGGTTTGTTCGACGAGCCGAGAGCTCGTGGGCTCGGCTCAGATCATGAGCTCATGAGTTCGACTCGTGCTTGGACGAGCTTGAGCCCGGTTTGTCACTTTGACTAGCCCAACTCGACCCAATTCCACCACTATACTCAATACAATATATCAAATATACTTTTTGACGAGCCAACTTGTGGTTAGATGGCTCTACCCATTGCCACCGCCATGCTTGATACAATATAACAAATATACTTTCATAGAAATAGAATAGTAGTTAACATGATTGGGACATAACGCGAGGCAAATATGGGACAGCAACATGAGTATCAGATATGGGTTCCAAC